CCTCGTTCCCCATCCCGTCCTTGAGCAGAGAGTACCTTGTTTAGTGCTCCTTAGATTTTTTTGGATTTCAACCAGTTTTTTAAAAAATTGGGGTCCCATCTACTGTGTCTTGTCAAGTAAGTCATTGAAAAAGCAGCTCCCCTCCTTATCACTGTCTGTTCCTAAACGATAAGACATTTTAACACTGAAAATGTAAGAAGATGTAGTGGTTTCCTGGAACTGCTGTAACGAGCCCCGAAAATGGTGGGAGTGGGGCAGTGCTGAAAAGGACTGAAATGTATTGTCTCCCAGTGCTGGAGGCCAGAGCCCGAGATCGGGGCGTGCGCACCGCCGCGCTCCTTCTGAAGCCTCTGGGGGAGGAGCCTTCCCGCTGGCAGCTTCTGATGCCCCGCGGTGGCAGCGTCACTCCCTTCTGTCTCCAGCACCACGTGGCATCTTCTCCCTGTGTGCGTTTCTCCCCTTTACATAAGGACACCAGGCATATTGGATTGAGGGCCCATCCTACTCCAACCTGTCCTTTCTTAACTAATTGCATCTGCAATGGCTCTTATCTCGAAGTAAGGTCACATTCCCAGGTGCTGGGGGTTAGGCCTTCAACATTTCCCTTTTTTTTTGCGGTACGCGGGCCTCTCACCGCTGCAGACTCTCCGGTTGCGGAGCGCAGGCTCCAGACGCGCAGGCTCAGCGGCCATGGCTCACGGGCCCAGTCGCTCCGCGGCATGTGGGATCCTCCCAGACCGGGGCTCGAACCTGTGTCCCCTGCATCGGCAGGCGGACTCCCAACCACTGCGCCACCAGGGAAGCCCCTTCAACATATCTTTTTGAGGGGGGCCACAATTCCGTCCAACACAAGGACATAATCTGACATTAACAGGTCAGGACTGTGCTTTCAATGCAGCACATTTAGCTTTATGAACAATCTCCCTATTGTCTTGCTCCTCTCATTTTTCTACAGGCTAGGGTTGGGCCTCTGCGCTGGTTGTTCTAAGTGTGCCTGGTGACTTGTGCTTGTCTCCTGCCTGCCCCGTGTACGTGCTCGGGCTTGGAGGCAGGGACCCTGTCCCCTCCAGGAGCTTGCGGCCGGCCCTCGAGGCCTTAGAGCCCGCAGCGCCCTGCCCCCGACCCCCGCTCCTGCAGCCCACCCTGTTACTTAAATTGCCGGCACCTGCCTCCCTTCTTGGGCTCGGGGAGGGCTTTCTTGGCTCCTGTGAGCTTTATGGGCTTCCGGGATTGTGCTTTTCCTCCCTTTCTTCCTCCGGCCTGCTCTCTGGATGAGGCCCTTGCGCCGACCTTGCTCCCGGGAGCAGCGGATGAGCTGACACTCAGCCAGACATCACCAGCTGCTGTCCTGCCGGGACCCAGAGGCTGCAAGTGAGCCCCACGGTGACTTCGTTTTCACAGACACACATGGGGCAGGAGGTCGTGGGCTTGCACCCAAAGCAGTTCCTCGTGGGGCGCGTGCGTTTCAGGCTGCTCCCCCCGGACCCCCTGCTCTCCACCACGGGAGGGAGGAGCTGGAAGAGTCACGCCAGCGGGCCCCCCAAACAGCGTGACCGCCCTGGCGTGTGGAGGGGGAGGTGACCCCAGGGGAGGGGTCGTTTCCCAGAGCCGATGCAGGGGTGTCCTCGTCGGCAACACAGATGCACATCCTGAGCCCCTCGGCTGGGTCTGATTGGGAGCCTGCCGGGTGGGGTCACAGCAGGGAGGAGACAGACCAGCTGGCCCTCGGGGGTGCCTCCCACGGTGAGTGGTCAGTGCTCAGCTGTGAGCCTCCTACCTGGAGAGAGAAGGAAAGACAGCAGAGCAAGTGAGGGCAGGGAGAGGCCTGTGTGCTAGTGGAGGACGCTGCAAGGGCCCTCCTGCAAGGCGGGGAGTCTTGCAGAAGGACGCTGGGAGGCGGGGAGTCTTGGAGGGGGACCCTGGGAGGCGGGGAGTCTTGGAGGAGGACCCTGGGAGGCGGGGAGTCTTGCAGGAGGACCCTGGGAGGCGGGGAGTCTTGGAGGAGGACCCTGGGAGGCGGGGAGTCTTGGAGGAGGACCCTGGGAGGCGGGGAGTCTTGGAGGAGGACCCTGGGAAGTGGGGAACCACGGAGGGAGAGGAAGACACAAGGCGTTGCCTGCTTCGTGACCTGGCATTTAGAGAAATGGCAGGATCTGAAACCTCATGTCTGCACCTGAGGGTGCAGGCAGCAACTTGAGGACATTGGTACTGAGACCGCGGCAGGAAGGAGCATTGGCTGGGGCAGCTTGGCCCCTCTTGTGTTGCCTGCAGATCACCTCCGGTCTGTGCCCTCTGCTAAGGGACTGAGACCTTAGCCACTGGGGAGGGGAGGTCCTGTAGCAGAGGCATGAGGGCGGCTGACGGGCTGCTTGCCTCTGTCATTCAGACAAGCAATGGGGAAAGACGGAGCAGGCTGGATCCCTGACGTGGAGGCTAACTCTCAGGGAGCCAGAAAAGGGAGGTGTTTTCAAACCATCCACTCCTGCCTTGCTTTTATGTTTTTCCCTAAGAGAACAGTCTTTCTCCTCCAAGGCAGGCTGTGTATGTGTGCACGTTTGTAGGTAGGGGGGTTTTGTGTGTGCATGCAGGCATATGTGTGTTGTGTATTTGCTCGTGTGCACACACATATATGTAGTGTGCGCATTCGTGTTGTGTAGATGCATGTGTGCGCAGGTGTGGACGGCATCTTGGTCTCCCTGGGCGGAGTCTGCAGTCTTTTCGGCTCTGCTTGGAGTCCCACCTGGTGGGCTCGCTCTGCCGCCATGACTCACGGCACAGAAAGTTCCCTTATTTACCCAAAGAAAACAAAAGGTAAAGATTTGGCTACTGAAGATAAGGCCACTGATTCACCAGGGAGGTTAGGATGACCGTGAGTGTCCTCCCGAGAATGCAGACCTGGAAGGAATTGGTTTGCAAACACCTCATCCTGGACCAGAAGTTCAGCAAAAAGCCTTTTGGAGAAAAGTGTCTCTATCCAGTGGCGAGTCTTCCTGCTTTGTCCCTTTCTCGTTATGGTTGTTGGGCTGCTGCTCCCCGACTCTGTGAAAGGGGCGCTCTCCGGTGCCAGGTCCGGCGGTGCCAGGCCTGGCCTGGAGCCACACGGCGTGGTGGCTCCCCCTTCCTGAAGACCCTCCTGCTCTGCGTTTCCCTCCCACCTGTTTCCCCTCCTAGATTCCCTCTCCTGCCTGCGGCCTGAACCCTGTTCCCTTGTTCTGTGGGGCAGGAGGCTTCCGACCTGAACGGGAAGGAGTGACCGCCCTGGGCCCCAGAATGCTCCCTCCTTTGCTTCATGGCACGTGACCCCTCAGGTGACGCTAACTCCGTTGAGAGGGAAACCAAGGCAGCAGGAGGTGGTTAAGGAACAGATCCGGGGTCACCCCGCTGGGCAGAGGGGAGTGGGACCCGGGTCGGTGGTGTCCCAGGGCTCACGTGGTGACCTGCGTTCCCTCTCCATCCTGTCTCTCCTCCACCAGGGCCCCCAAGTGCCGTCTGTTAAAACTGCCTCTGTGAGGTCAGGCCGGGTGTTGAAGCTCCCACTAGGTTTAAAACCTGTGTTCTTTCGCCCAGAAAGGAAAGCACTTTAAATGCGTCACTACTGGGTGATAGTGGGGGTTGTCCTACCACCTTGGGAACAAAGAGGTGGGCGTTCCTGATGATAGGGTAGGCACAGAACTAGAATCTTTTCATGTGGGAGGAGGAATAGAGAAATTCAGAGGCATCTTTTCTTTCTGCCCCGGGGGTGGGGTCCGGAGTGCTGGGACTGCTTGTCGGTGTTCTTCTGAAGCTGGTTCTGTGTTAAGTTCCAGCTCAAGAGGGGCGTGTGGTCTAATGCCGGAACTAGTGCTTTCAGCCTGTATTAAGTAAAGTGAAGGGTAATGGTTCCTTAGCTTCCGTCAGGTCCTGGGCACTGTTATGAGTTGTCTTTACATAGAGATATTGGCTGAATTGGTGATTCTCAGCAATCTGGACACAGGCAGAGAGGCTGTATACCTGTAATCTCGCTGTAGCCTGTGCTCCCTGCAGTAGCTTAAATAGCCTGCTACTTTCTTCTGCTTTTGTCAGTAGAATAATGGAGCTTAACCAATTCGCTGGTGATCAGTATCTGGAAACAGACGAGTTCTTCACCCAGTACATTTTTTTCCTTTGGAGATTAAAGGATAGAGTTTCAGCTCAACATTATAACTCCCAGGCTCATGTCATTCCTGAAGTTCAGGAAACCTTCAGGTCTAATGTTCAGGTCCTCCACTGCAGAATTACTAATGCATGTGTGATCTGAGCGTGATCTAGCCGCATGGAAAGCTACCCTGTAAGGGAGCAGGCCGCTAAGAAGTGGAAAGGGCCAGTAGCATCGCCTGGGGCCAGCCCTGCCAGGCCAGGGTAGAGTTACTCAGATAAAGGGCAGCATCTGATAGCTGCCGCAGCCCTTACCCTCGTGATGCTGGGGACGGTACTTTTTGTCCCTTTAGACCTCCCTGGCACTAGAGCATCAGTAAGGGCCTGCAGACGGGTGAGGAGTTGGTACAGCCTGGAAGAACTGTGTGTGGGGTAGGAAGGAGATACATTCCTTAACTTGTAAAGGATGGTCTGTGTCTGTGCAGGTGCTGTCACCCTGGGAGTTTGTGGAGGCTGTGTGTGTGTGTGTGTGTGTGTGTGCATGCATGTGTGTGTGTGGACTCCCTGACACGTTCAAGAACACAGTGGTGTAGGGCCAGGACCAACTATGAGTTCAGGTCAAGTCTTGACTTGCATCGTCAAGTGCAGGACCGACTAATGCAGCTAACTAGGGCTTTGGGCTACAGCTGGTTCATTTCATTTCCTCCAGTCCCTTTCAAGTCACTGTCTGCTACTTTGCCAGTTGACAGGGTGACAGCAGAGGGCTCCCAGGAAGGTCTTAGGTTAAATCCCAGAGTCCATTTGCCTCTGTTCCTAAAATTGGTAGGGAGGGGACTGCTGGGCTTTTCGGGGAGGTCGCTCAGGTTGTGGGATTTCCATCCACCCGCGCCCTCCTCCTCGGAGGCTGGGGGGCAGCGGAGCAAGCCTGTGCGCATTGGCCGGCCTGCGGGGCGGGGAGCAGCTCGGCCAGGCTGGGAGAGGGGCAGAGGGCGCTCAAGCCCGCTGTCGCCCTTCGCTCTGGCTGGTGTCGGGTCTCAGGCAGCCGGATCCCGTTACCCGGCCCCAGGACATTCGGTTTCATTGAAGAATACCTTTCCCTTTCTGTCTCCTTGTGGTGCAGATGATTTACATGGATGATGGGGTGTCGTCTTTTGTTCAGATCAGAGGCTCCGTTCCGCTGTTTTGGGAGCAGCCAGGGCTTCAGGTAGGTAAAAAAAAGCCTGTCCGCGTGTGTCATTGTTCACCCACTCTTCTCTTTTAAATGGCTGTGAGTTGTTTCTTTTAGTCATATTTCTTTCATGGCAGTTTCTGGTCTTTTTCCCCAGCCCAGTTGGATTGAGCTGAGTTGTCACAGTGTGTGTGCACGTGTGTGTGAGCATGTGTGTGTGGTGTCGTGTCGTACACAGAGACATATACGTTGTGTGATTTTCCGATCTCGAGCTCACTGATGACACTGGTGAGGTGGAAGCTCTTTGCAAGTAAGTGGACCACATCGTGTGATTGCAGTTACCTTCATTTAGGCCCAAGTTCAGTGTGTTGAGAGCGTGACCTAAGATGTCTTTTTTTTCTGCGGTACATGGGCCTCTCACTGTTGCGGCCTCTCCCGTTGCGGAGCACAGGCTCCAGACGCGCAGGCTCAGCGGCCATGGCTCACGGGCCCAGCTGCTCCGCGGCATGTGGGATCTTCCCGGACCGGGGCACGAACCCGTGTCCCCTGCATCGGCAGACGAACTCTCAACCACTGCGCCACCAGGGAAGCCCCCCTAAGATGTCTTTAGAGAGTTGCGACTCTCCTGGAAAGCTTTGAAAGGTTTTGGGGGCCCCAGCAGCCGTGTGGCAGGTCCGGCGTTTGGAGGTGCTTGTTGTGGGACCGCGTGCGAACTGCACGGAGCTTTCATGTGATTTCTAAAAATACTCCTTGCCGTCCCAACAGGGCACTGGCTGGTGCCAGAGGTATTTGGCCTTCTGTCTCCTGGGACGAGTTCAGTGTGTGGGTCCAAGAGCACATCTGTTGTCAGTGGAGGGGCACACTGCTTTCCTACCTGGGAGGGTCACGGCCGAGGGGACCTGATTCCTCCACACTGATCCCGGTGTTCCCGCCTGGCTGGAGGGGACGTGGGTGCCCTCAGGAGACCCCTGTGCCCGAGCCTGCGTCCCCTGGGCTCTCTTCCTGAGCGCTCTGTGTGACGGTGGCTGGGTCACCAGCCGGTGGCTAAAGAGGCCCAGGGCCACCTGCCAGGCTCTTGGAGTGTTTGACGCGCTGGGTCTCACCCGGCCTTGATTTGACCCAGCCTCAGCCGTGGGCACTTTGTCCTCATGCTGTCATCGTGCAGTTGGAAGCCATGGAAAGGAACCTTGTCAGCCCTTAGGTGAGACGGGTGGATGAGTGTCTCAGTTCTGTGGGCAAAAGCTCAATTAACATTCAGTGTTTCCATGAGAAAGGAGCAGCTAAGACGTGTGCAGCAGCTGATGGCATTAAGTGGTGGCAGAGAGGTGCACTCCTGAGGATGGGTGGAGATCTCCTCTGGAGGCCATCCCGAGAGAGCTTTGTTTTTAAACAGCTCTATTGAGATATAATTTGCATACATAAACCTCACCCATATAAAGTGTACAATTCTATGGTTTTTAATGCATTCACAGAGTTGTGTAACCATCACCATAATCTTACTTTAGAACACTTACATCACCACTAAGAAAACCATGGACCCATCAGTGGTCACTCCCCATTCCCTCCCAGCCCACCCCGAGGCCTGGGCAACTGTTCTACTTTCTGTCTCTATAATTTGCCTATTCTGGATATTCTCAAAGGGGTTTTGAAACTTGATTTTCTTTAGATTTGCAGTTTTCCTTTGATTTGTAAGAAACCCCAAAACTGGGAGATGGTCATGATAGAGTATTAGAATTTGGGAAGGACCCTTTGAAATTCATCTGTTTTACCCTCTCACCCAGTTTGGGATGGCTCCATTATTATTATTATTATTATTATTATTATTATTAGCTAGTTTCTCCTTGCTTTGCACACAGTCTGTCTCTAGGGGACATGCCACACAAAGTCTGAATTCTCAGACCTTCAGGAACCTTCGTGGTTCCCCCTTTCTCCATTTCGTCTTCTCCAGGGCCTTCCTTTGGCCATTTGTGTCTTATTTCTAGGACTCTCCACACTCTGGTCTCCCTCTTCTAAAAACAAGACAAAACTTGTCAGTCCCCTCTTTAATTTTGGTCTCCAGCTTGACTCCTCTGGTGCTCCAGACACAGCCTGACTCTGCACTGGAACAACTGTCCCCCAGTCTGACTTGGGTCAGCAACCATGGGCCTTGGGTGGCTTGCTTTTCCATAGCTGTAGCATCTTTTAGACTCATAACACTGTTAAGCCTCTTCCACAGCCTCCGTGGTTTCTTCAAAATAAGTTTCAAAAGGGTTTAGCGTTCATGAATCTTAAGGATTTGCTAACCTTTGGGTTTAATACCCGTGTTTATCCTCTAAATACAATCCATCATCAAAGAGAGATGAGGTCATCTTCCTAGGGCACAGGAGGGCAACTTTCAGTCACCCTTCCCCAACTATCAACAGCAAAGCCTGATGGTCAATCCTGGTTTTTTTTCTCTACTTTGAAAAATTCCCCCTCCTTCTGCACTTAGGTTAGATGAAAAGTGCAAAGATTTTGGGGTAAATAGCTTTGCTTTTTAAGTTGCAGTGTTGCGCCTTCGCTCTTTTGCAGTTACCCCAAGGGAACGGATGAGCCCTGCCGTTGGGGTTGGGGCACGGGGGTGCGCAGAGAGGACCGTGGGATGATGATTTGTCTGCACGTTATCATGGGCATAGTGCCTTCATTACAAACTCCTGGATCCTGACTGCATTTCCAGCAACCATGTACCTTTAGCGGTTAATCTTTATCTTGTTAATAGGTTGTGCAGATTATAAATAGCCTTAGTTTACTCTTCTGTAAAATGGGATTGACAATAACAATCTCCTAGGGTTATGGAGAGGATTAAATATCATAGTATGTATTAGAATTTAGCTCAGTATCTAGAATCTAAAAAGTATTAAAAATGGTGGCTGTTAGTGGTATTAATAACGTAAGTTATAGCATCTAAGAGACAAAAAGCACAAGTTGCATTTGCATCAGGAGAAGCGCCATTGGCTCTTTGCGTCCTGCAAGCGGAGTAGGAGTTTCCCGTGAAGGCCCCACGAGGACACCATGCGGTGTAGTGACAGTGTCCTCACCTTTTTGCGTTCATGTGCAGCCCGAGCACCAGTCTCCTAGGCTCTTCCACTTCCCAGCCCTCATACACACCCCGGGGAAGCCATTTATTCATCCCACAGACACTCATCAAGCACCTGGTACATGCAGGCACCTGACATCAGATGTCGCCCCCGACTTCGGGGTGGAGGTGACAGGACATGACAGTGTTGTACGAATAGAACTGGGAGAGAGGAAGGCTGAGATCCCTGTGGCAGCTCTAGGGACGGACAGTCCACTCAGGCTGCAGGGGTAGGTGTCTGAACTGACCTGAGAGGGATTGGGTGGCATCACCCAGGCCAGGAAGGCAGCCTGCAGAGGGAACCACAGATGCAGGTGTTGCAACCGCTGCGTCAGAGCACATCTGGGGACCTGTGCTGGCTCTGCTCCCTGCAGCCCGGGCGTGGGGGACAGGGGTCGTGGTGAAAGGTGAGACTGGAGAGGCTGGCGAGGCCCAGATGAACATGGGCTTTGTATGTTACGCTAAGGAGTTTGAATTTTACCCCGGTGGTGCCCAAACTGCTGCACATTAGAATCACCTGGGCAGCTCATAAAATTCCTGGCACTCGGGGTGCATGCCATCCCAGTTACATCAGCACGTCTGCAGGTGGGAGCAGGCATCAGTACTGTTTTGAAGACCCTTAGATGATTCCAGTGTGCAGAAGGCTGGGGAATCACTCAAGGTTATGCTGGTAAAACAGTTATTTTAGGGTCAGGAGGGAGAAGTTTTGGTTTGTAGCATTTGCCCATTTCTGTGGTGTAAATACTCCCATCAGAGCTGATTTCAAGCCAACAGCTTGAACTCGGAGGTGGGAAGAGGTGTGCATACCGTGGCTTGTGAGCCGGAAGGAGCTGGCTCTGCACGCTCTGGACGCTGCACTAAAGGTTTCAAGGGGTGGGTGATGAGGCCTAAGTAAGCTTTGGAGTTTGGAGGAAGAAGATGAAAGGTAAGGACACCAGGTAAGGACGGTGGCATGGATCCAGATCAGAGATGCTGGCGGCTTTAACTAGGGGAGGCCGTGGAGGGGGAGGGAGAGGTTTGGAGATGCCGTCTGTGGCCCTGGGACCCTCTCAAGTGCTCAGGGAGGCTCTGTGTGGACTCAGTCAGGCATTATTCTTCCAGCCACTCCCTCACGCTCAGCCTGGAATCTTTTGGATTGAACCTCTGACTTTAGGGACCAGACAGGAGTGAGTGGCCGAGTGTTCACCTGGCCGGGGGAGGAGGGAGACTAAAAAAAGCAGTGCGGTCAGTTCCTGTGTGCTGGGGCCAGCAGTGGTTTCATTTCAGCCCCGCGTGAAGCTGCTCCCTGAGGCTCTGACAGACTGTGGCCTCAGGACTAGGTGACACCAGAGAGGAGAGATTCAGGTCAGTGTCGGGACGTGCGGCCTTAGGCAGCTGGACTAACGGGTTGTCGAGCTGATGGACAAATGACCTTCCAGAGAGTGTCCAAGGCCCCCCTTCTGCCCACGCCCCGTCCACTTAGGGGGCGGGGGAACATGGCTGTGGGCAGGGTGCCCTGTGTGCGGGTGTAGACACAGACCCTTGGGCTGCTCTCGTCCCGCTGCCTTGTCCCCTCACAGGCATTCAAACCCCCAGCAAAAAGGGAACGACGATGATGATTAGGTAGAAACCAGCACCTCTCAGACTGTAGCATGGGGGGCGTGTGTGTGCATATGTGAGCCACCTTGTGCAGGAGTCACCTGGGGACTTGTTAAAACACAGGTTCCTGGCCCCACCCCCGGAGACCTTCATTCAGTAGGTCTGAGGTGGGCCCTCAAATCTGCATTTCTAACAAGCTCTCAGGGCACACTGATGCTGCCGGTCCGGGGACCACACTTTGAGAACCACTCGAGTCAGGGATCCTTTCTGCCCATTTACTGCCCTGGTCGTTCACTGTGGGTGGTGCCCTTAGTGTCATCAGCAGTGACGTTGGACTGACTGCTGTGGGGATGGGAACATGCCTACAAGGGTCCTGCCTTGCCCTGTCCACACAGAGAGTCTGGGTGAGGGAGAAAGGGCAGAGGCATTGGAAGGGCTGTGCCCTGTCCCGGGGCTGGGCCGTGTCCTCTCCTGCTGTGGGCTGCTGCTTCCTGACTGGCCCCCCGCTTCCCCGAGTCCTGCAGATGCAGTCATGCAGACTCGTTAGAAACACTTACGTGTGTTTCGGGGTCTTTGCACAGCGACCCAGTTGGTGGTAGTCAGCCAGGGACGGGAATTCAGGGTCTCCCGTCCCTTTGCCATCTCCATAGCACCCAGTGCCACGTGGACCCGAGGTGTCAGGCTCACTAACTCAGGCCTGCACGGCTTATGCAGTTCGTAACGGGACTTAGGTAAGTTTTATCACGGGAAGTTTAGAGCCAGAGATCAAGGTTCTGAGCCCTGAACCATTTCTGATTCTCTTACTTGCTCCCATGGGAGTGAGTCTAAAAACAGCCGTAGCTTCTCCCTGAAGCCAGGGGGGATTTCTTGCGGTGACTGACAGGCAGACGTGGAGCAAGTGGCCCCCGGGGCTCAGGGACCCCTCAGAGGGTGGCTGGAGGAGTGTGGATTCGCTTTCCGCCAGCACCTTCCTTGTAAGTTCAGAAGACAGACAGGAGCTGACTTGCCTTGGGTGCAGGACATGACCGTCTTCTGGGAACTCAGAGGCTGTGATGGTTTTGGGGGTTAAGTAACTGGCATTCGTCAGCCAGGTGTCAATGGCCATCAGGAAAGGAGGGCAGAATACACACAAAATGAAGGTGTTTGGGTTGAGCCTTTCTTAGGAACACCCACAGTTAAGAGCAAGATGCCTTCTTTTCAGTGCCTTATTTTACTGGCTCATTTCCTTCGTGACCAACGTTTCTTAGGATCAAAAGGGACTACAGACTTTATTTGTAGAGTCATTTATATGGACAAACCTAATCCCAGTAATTTCTAAATCTATTGCTGAGACACTAGTTTTCTGGATGGGTACTTTCCTCACGTATAGGGAGGGACAGATGTATTATCTGCGATGCTAAGGGTCATGAAATAATGCTTCTCACATGTTCAGTAATATCTATATCTGATGATACGGACGAATCCAAGGACACCACTTTTACAACCTTCAATACCAAGCAAAACTGAGCAGTACATTTGAAGAAACTTTTTATCTTGAAATAATTTCAGACCTACAGAAAAGTTGTAAGAACAGCGGAAAGGACCCTTACACATCATTACCTGGATTCACTAAATGTTAACATCTTGCCACACACACCTATGCTTTATTTATTTCTGAATCACTTGAGAGTAGGTTGCATACATCTTTAGTCTGTTTACTTGTTAATGTTTCAGGATGTTTTCCCAAGGAGCAAATATATTCTCTTACATCACCACAGGGTAGGTACACATTCAGGAAATTTAACGTGGACACAGGACTTTAATCAGATCTGCAGCCCATATTCCAGGTTTATCAATTTTCTCAGTAGTTAGTGTCCATCGTGGCTCCTTTCCCCCTTCAGTCCAGGATCCAGGCCGGCATCACATCCTGCATTTAGTTCTCACATTTCCAATCTCCTTTAATCTGGACCAGTTCCTCTGCCTTTCTGTCTTTCCTGAAGTTGATGTTTTTGGAGAATGTAGGTCTTCTTTTTCTGTAAATTGAATGTTCCTCATTTGGGAGTTTCCTGGTATTTCATTATGATCAGGCTCTGGGTACTGATCCCTCGCCAGAACGCCGATCGACCGTGTCCTTCTCAGAGGTCCTTCCCATCTGGAAGTCTCCAGTGTCCCTCTGCCCCTCTAATGAGGGCAGATGTTAGTTTTGATAACTCGGGCAAGGTGTTCTTCAGTTTCTCCACTTATGCTTAATGTGGTTTTTGTTTTTGTTTTTGTTTTTTTTTTGCGGTACGCGGGCCTCTCACTGTTGTGGCCTCTCCTGTTGTGGAGCACAGCCTCTGGACGCGCAGGCTCAGCGGCCATGGCTCACGGGCCCAGCCGCTCCGCGGCATGTGGGATTTTCCCAGACCGGGGCATGAACCGGTGTCTCCCGCATCGGCAGGCGGACTCCCAACCACTGTGCCACCAGGGAAGCCCAATATGTTTTACTTTTCAACTAACAAGTGATTTATGGAGACACTTTGAGACCATGCAAGTACCCTACTCCTCAGCAAATTTTCCCCCAAGATTTATGGCCAAAGGATGATTTTTGCTGAATAATTTTTTACTATGATTGATATAAGATGATGATTTTTCACCACTCCCTCCATGTTTATCAGTTGGTATTTTCCATAAGGAAGAACCCTCTCTTCTCCCTGTCCCGCACGTGCCCCCCGGCTAGCCATCTACCCATGCACCTGCCCACCCATCCATCTGCCCATCCACTCATCCACCCATCCATCCAGCTCTCATCTGTATAGATTCATGGATTCTTATTTTATTCTTCAGGTTATAATCCACTGCTGTCCTTACATTATTTTTTAACATCTTTATTGGAATATAATTGCTTTACAATGGTGTGTTAGTTTCTGCTTTATAACAGCACATATACATATGTCCCCATATCTCTTCCCTCTTGCGTCTCCCTCCCTCCCACCCTCCCTATGTCCTTACATTATTCGATGTTCAGATTGTCCCAGATCTGTCCAGAGAGAGTCCCCTCAGGCAATAACAATAAGTAGGTTTAAGTTTGTTTCTTAAGCTTCCAGTGTTAAATAGGTAGTTCTAAACAATAAGGCAAAGTCGTTTGCAGGTAGTCATGACAGCTCAGATTTTAGGGGCAGAGTCAAGATCCCTGGAGCTGCAGAAGAGGCCGGAAGCGTTTTCTTTCTCCCAGTTGGCTTAGCCTCACCTCTGCACCACAGAAGGGTTTGTGGATCTGATGTGGGCCTCATGGTCTTACCCTGAAGTTTGTCTTCTGTTTGTGGAATAACCCAGCCGGCATGGTCCATGCTGCAGTTAGGACGGGGCTGAAGCAGAGCCAGACTCAGGCTGCAGGACCTGCGTTCAGGGCCTGGCCGTCCTGAGCTGTAAATGGGCCATGGAGGGGCCGAGTGGCTGCTGCTTGTGGCCTGGCTGGCAGCAAGAGGGCGAGTGGAAAGGCCATCGCGTACTGGGTTCGCAGTGCGGGAGGAGTCACCGGTGTCCTTTCTCTTTGATTTAGGTGGGTTCCCATCATCTGAGACTCAACAGAGGCCTGGAAGCCAACGCCCCTGCTTTCGACAGGTAGAGTTGTCCGGCCGCATCCTAAGTCTGTTGTCCTTCCTCCCATCAGACAGTAGTACAGGAGCCAGGGTGTCATGGGAAACGGGAGACCCCAAATCTGGAATCTGAATCTGCCTTTTACTTTGGTTCTTTATACAAAAAGGCAGCTTACAAAATGGAATTTTTACTTGCTCTCAGTTTTCCCTGAAGGTTCATTCATAAATGCTCAGGTAACACTTTGCAATTATTTTATCTTATCAGTTCCTTCTGCATTGAAGCTTTATCCATTTGTCCTGGTTAATAAGGGGTCATCTAAACTATAGGATATTTCTAAGCTGGTTTGTTTGTGTTTTTAAGGTAACATATTCCCAGGCTTTAAAAAGTCACAGTGTGGAAAGGTATAAAGGAAAACATAGAAGTACCCTAACTCCTAATTCCCACTGCTGGTTAGTTTTCTATATATCGTTCTAGAAACGATTCTGACTTATACATAGTTCTTTTTTTTTTTTTTTTGCTTCATTGGGTCTTCGTTGCTGCGTGTGGGCTTTCTCTAGTTGCAGTGAGCGGGGGCTACTCTTCGTTGCGGTGCGCGGGCTTCTCATTGCGGTGGTTTCTCTTGTTGCTGAACACAGGCTCAAGGCACATGGGCTTCAGTAGTTGTGGCTCGCAGGCTCAGTAGTCGTGACGCATGGGCTTAGTCACTCCGCGGTATGTGCGATCTTCCCGGACCAGGGCTCGAACCCGTGTCCCCTGCATTGGCAGGCGGATTCTTAACCAATGCGCCACCAGGAAAGTCCCCATAGTTCATTTTTTTAAAACACAGATTGGATCATTACACACTTACTGTTTTACAACTCGCTTAAGAAAAGCCATCGCTAACCTGAACTCTTGGTAAATTATACTTGAAATAGTTAATAGCTTTTTAAAATATTTGTTTTTTTACTCTAAATGTTAATTTTAAAATAATCTTAATGGGTAAATACTTCTCAAAGTAATTTTTTTTTAATTTACTTTATTATTTATTTACTTTTGGATGCGTTGGGTCTTCATTGCTGCGCGCGGCTTTCTCTTGTTGAGGCGAGTGGGGGCTGCTCTTCGTTGTGGTGCGCGGGCTTCCCATTGCGGTGGCTTCTCTTGCTGCAGAGCATGGGCTCTAGGTGCGCGGGCTTTAGTAGTTGTGGCTTGTGGGCTCTAGAGCGCAGGCTCAGTAGTTGTGGCGCATGGGCTTAGTTGCTCCGCGGAATGTGGCATCTTCCCGGACCAGGGCTCGAACCTGTGTCCCCTGCTTTGGCAGGCGGATTCTTAACCACTGCGCCACCAGGGAAGTCCTCAAAGTAATTTTTTTTAATGTTTGAATCATTCTAGCTGAAGCTTCATTTGGACTTTAAATTTGCTTGCAGCCTTCTTATTTACCTTAAGATTGGTGACACCAGCCCACCTGTGCCCCCCTAATTAGCATGTTACACACAGGGCACACTCAGCGCTGAGCAGCTCAGACTCCCCACCTGAGCAGGGCCTGCTCTGTCTGCACCTGTCAGACCTCAGGCCAGGATGCCCGGAGGGGCCAGGCCACACATGTTGTTTCTTCGGCAACCTTCCCCCGGGGCTTCCACATAGCATGGCTCCAGGGGCCGTGCACAGCCTACCGGCTGTGAGGAGGCCCTGATCTCCCAGATTTGATCCAGCCCTGCATCCTCCCCCTGGGAGGGACTGCAGACAGGGCAGGGCTGCCAGGAGCATGGCCCTGGGAGAATACTTCTTCATGGGGGCGGAGCCCTCGGCGGCTCGTCTTCAGCTGTCTGCAGAGGGACATAAACTGCCCACTTCAGGATCCACATCCCTCTACGCAGTGCTGTCCCTCCGAGTTAGTAAGAGAGTCCCTTTTTCTCTTATTGGGCTAAAAATGGTTCTTTTGTGATAATTAACTTTAAAAAATTCCATTTATGAGACAAACGTTATTGTAGAAATTTGGAAAATACAAAAAATGTTTAAAGAAGGAAAGAACTTAAAATCACATAAAATTCTACCACTTTTAACATTGTGGTGTGTTATTTTTTTCTCGTTTTAGATGTTAAGATTGCAGTATTAAATTAATTTTACATTTGCTTTTTGCATTGTGTATTTCCCCTTTTTAAAAATACTACATTTAAATATTTCTAACAGTATTAAAATTATAAAGTTACTTTTCAAAAGCTGCTGGTAAAAGACAAATATTAGAGTCTCTCCCTGCTATTTCAATATATGTATTTAAAAACAGTCTCTGGTACACAAAGAATTTTCCTAAAGACTGAAATTTCATTACACCTTCTGGTTGAGGTTAAACATCATGAAATGCAGCACTTAGATGAAAAAATTGGACCCTCAGGTTGATGCCTCCTACCAGGTTTCTGGTTCTGAGAAGGTACCAAGTGAAGTGGATTAACTTCAGAGATACGCACGTCACATTTATTAGGCTGTTAATAATGAAAGGCCAGATTAGCTGTTCTGGATTTAATGGAGGACTTTACAGAAAGTCCAGCGTATCCTCCACCTGATACCACGTGTGTTTAGAAGTCTGATGTGCTGTGTACTTTTGGCCAGTGCCTTTCATGGGGAACAGCTCATCCAGGACCTCCAGTGCCTGGCAGGTCCCCTCAAGGGCGGGGCCGTCAGCGTGTGTCGCGGGGACATGGCATCATGCGCGGCCCTGCTCTGTTGCAGGCACATGGTGCTTCTCAAGGAGCAATATGGGAAGCAAGTGGTCGTGAACCTGCTGGGGAGCAGAGGCGGAGAGGAGGTGCTCAACAGAGCCTTCAAGGTAACTGGCTTCCCCGCCTGGGGGGTTCAGGGAATGAGGGAGCCGAGGGGCCCCTGCTCAGGGCGGGCTTCCATGGGGACTGGGGACAACAGCCCTGCTTTCCCCATGTTGGGGGAGACTTTTTCCATCAGAGTATCAGCATTAGGTGACTTGGGCTACTGACAAATGCAGTTTAATTTTTGTAAAGCAGTGGTTGGGAGAATTTGCTCAAAATGAAAACAAAGCATCTCCCATCTCCAGCTGCATTTTCTCCACTGCGCCCCACTGGGGCATCGACCACTCAGGATGGCCAGGCCTTTCCCTGGCTCTCTTGGATGGACACACACACGCGTGAACGTACACATGCATGCACGTGCACACGTATGTTTGGGCTTCACCCCGTGCATCCCTGACCTGCTCGGGGAGCCAGAGTTCCCTCTTTCCTTGTTGGTCTGGCCCAGCTGCTGGCCAGCACCTTCTGGCACGTTCACACAGACACCCGCATGGCACTTGTGCCTAAGTGACTCTTCAGAGGCCCTGCTCGGTTTAAAGCAAGAAACCCTAGATAATTTCCTCCTGTGAACACGGAGCCTTCAAGTCATCCATCCTTGTCTGGGCTGCCCCTGAAAGCTGCTTCCTGTGTCCAGCTTTCCGTGGGCTCCCCGCGGCTTCCGGCACATGTTCAAGGGAGATGCATGGAGAAACCCTGGGGGGAGGGGGGAGCCGTGAGCAAAAGACTCCGCCCACCTCGCCTGCATCTCTCCGTTCCCAGTGCTCCCACGTGTATTCGGTCTACTGTAGACCAAGCTGCAGAATGAGCTGTGGGCTGTGGGCCTCCACAGTCCTTTCCCAGCAGCCCGTGCTCCCTGCTGAATGGGAAAAAAACACTGTGGTTGTTCAGAGCTCAGGGAAGCCCCTTATGGAGAGAGTTTGAAGTCACACCTCACTTCACGGAAGAGTGTTCCCTGTGGTGCTGGCCCCTGGCCAGTAGAAGCTGAATCCAGCTGGGTGCTTATTTCCCTCTGTTTAGGAAAGCCATGTGCTTGGAGCTGAGACTTTCTGGTGGCCAGTTTCACTTGGCCAGACCTGCTTTTCCTGTTTGGTTTGTTGCTATTGGCAACAAGCTTGCGAAGTTATCTCCACTGCCACCCATCTTGGCAGCCACGTTGGCAGTTTATTTTAAGGAAGAAGGGAAAAAAAAATCCCTCAAGAATTTTTCCCCTTTATGCCTTGATTTTGGGGAGAAGGTATCCTCAGCACACCCCCCTCAGCTGGTAGGCCCCTGCGCTGGAAAGGCAGGAGATGACTGCAGGCCTCTGGCCCAGCAGGGGAGACCAGACTCCCGGGCAGGTAGGAGGTAAGAGGTGGACCTTACCGGGAGAGACCTGGGTCATGGTCCCAACTGGGGTATCACATAGAAGGAGCTCCCCCTCAGCCTGTCAGCTCTGCCACGCTGAGGTCCACGCACAGGCAGCCGGCCTGTGACCCGTGGTTATCAGGCCACAGGGGACCAGGCACTTGCTCCAGATCATGAAGCCACCAAGTGTGAATGCTTCAGCTTGGCTGACCACTTCCCAACAAGACCTTGATGACGGCAGCTGCGCGTTGATTTGCTTCTAGCGCAGGAGGGACGGGCACTCAGTCCTCGGGACCAGATGGCCTGAAGCCTTCTAGTCCTTCAGAGTCACTAGTCTCTGGCTGGGCAAATGCTGGACAAGTCTGACCTGAAGCTGCACAGGAGGGTGTGGTTGGCGGTCCGAGGCTGGGTGCCCTGGGAAGGCAGTGGTTCATCCTTTGCCCCGGGGCTGCCTGGTGAGGGTGCTGAGGAGTTGCTGGCTGAGGCTCCTGGTGTGGAAGGCAGACCTCTGCCAGGGCACCACGCCTGCCCGTGCCCACCGGCCGTGCTTCCTCACGTCTGGCTCTGCCTTCAGTCTAGCTCACGTGCTGGAGCCGGGCCCGAGTGGGCCCTGAGCCCCTGTCTCCCCCACCCTGGAGTTTCACTGAGCTGTGCCTCCCCTCACTGGGCAGCCTGGAGGACTTGCCAAGGGACTTGGCCGCTTCTGAGCACACCCTCCCGGAGTCTTGGCTTGTCAGGATGGGACTGGTTACCAGGGCAACAGGAGCTGGATTATGAGCTCCGCAGCCTGCTGTGCTGCCCTGTACCTGGTGTGCCTGTGGCACTCGGGTGCCTGCAGAACAGAGCAGTCCTTCCCCGTGGGCATCCTCCAGAGAGCCCTCTGGGAGGTGATGTTGGTGCAGGGCCCTGGGCCGCCCCGGGGAGCCACACCCACTCTGGCTGTCTTTTGTCCAAGGTGGACCTTGTGCCCTTCTGCAGGCAAGATGCTCTTTGTGGTTTTGTCCCCAGGGCCTTTGTTCTGTGCTGCCCTTTCCGGGTCAGGGCTGGTAAACCACCGGGTCCACCGTAAGCCTTCAAGCTAAGCCCTGCACCGTGTCGAGTGACGCAGTCGGCCGCTCAGATGCCCTGCCACCCTCTCCCTTCCTTCCCCTTTCAGAAGCTGCTCTGGGCTTCTTGCCACGCCGGCGACACGCCTATGATCAACTTTGACTTCCATCAGTTTGCCAAAGGCGGGAAGCTAGAGAAATTGGAGAACCTGCTGAGGCCACAGTTGAGGCTGCACTGGGATGACTTTGATGTGTTCGCCAGGGGCAAGAATGTAAGTCCACGGTGAGTCTCACCTGCATCTTGTCGTCCCGCCGGGTGAGCTGCCGAGTGGCAGGGGCTCTGCCGGGAGCGTGCCCTCCCTCGCTGCTCCTACACTTGCAGTTTCTGGGCTGCAGGCTTGGTGATATCGGGCACCTTGGGTTCTGGCCTTCTTTCCCTTCCCACCGTCGGAGATGCTTGTGAATTTTGTGAGCAGATGATAAATCATGGTTTTCTGGCAAAATGTACTGATGGCGGGGACCGGGTTAACGGTGGAGCCATGGTGACCATATAACTTATCATCCGAACTGTGATGAAAATTAGCAAGAGTGAGGGGGGCAGCTGGCATAAACCCGATGGCCTAAGGGGACTGGGATGTGGATTCCCTGCTCAGAGTGGAGAAGGAAGTCCAGTTTCCGCAGGTTAGTACAGTTGATGCTCATTATTCATAGATTCCATATTTGCAGGTTTGCCCACTAGCTAAAGTTTATTTGTGACCCCAAAATCAAACTTTTGGAGCATTCACGGTCATTCACCAGACCTGCTCAGAACAGTGAGAAATTCGAGGCGCCTGCCGTGCACGTTCCCGGCTGAGGTGGGGCCAGGCCCCGCTCAGCCTTCTTGTTTCAACTCACCCTGCAAACAGGTGTTCCCGTGCCACCTGCTTGGTGCCACATCTTCGCTTTTTTGTGCATCTTGTCGCAGATTTCACTGTTTAAAGTGCCCCCCAGGTGTGGTGCTAAGTGCTGTCCAGGGTCCTAAGCCCAGGAAGGGTGTGACGTGCCTCACGGGAGAGAGTATGTGTGTTCGAGAAGTTTCGCTCAGGCACGAGTTACAGCGCTGATGGCCAAGACTTGATTGTGGATGAATCAACAATATGTATTAAATTAGGTGTCTTTAAACAGAGACACACATAAAACAAGGTTATGTATTGATTGCTTGATGAAAATATGTGAGCACAGGCTTGCGGGAACATAGCCCCCCAGGAGCAGTGGCTCAGCGTTCGCTGCTTTGCTGACAGTTCAGTTCGCTAACGGTTCACGCAACTTTCTAGAACGTAACTAGGGTGATGACGAGATTTGACTGTCTTTGTGACGGTCCTGGTGTGCAGGCTGCCGAGAGCGCGCTCTGGGCTCGGCCACCCCTCCAGCAGTGCTGGGACCCACCGCGCCGTGTACCTTTGGGGAGCAGCCCCTGCTGGGGTTTCCGTGGGAAAGACAAACAGCCTCGGATCCACCGGGCTGAGTAACTCTGGTGGCTTTGGGCTGCCCGGGTGGGCTCTAGTGGGCAGGCGGCCTACCAGGGAGGAGGTGAGGCGTTCTTTCTCGGGACAAGGCTCCTTGGGGGCCTGCGTCAGATGGGCCGTTGTGCCACGGGCAGTGCTCCTTCCAGCAGAACTTGTAACTTGTGTGTGTTGTTTCCCGAAGTTTTCAGAAAGGCACTTTGCGGATGAACTGTCTCGACTGCCTGGACCGAACCAACACGGTGCAGAGCTTCATCGCCCTCGAGGTCTGTCTCTCGGGCCATCTGTGTCCTGTCCTGTGCCTTCAGGGGGACGGGCTGGGCTCAGCACCCTTGTCAGCAAGATGAGGGAGGCCTCACTGGGCTGACGTTCCCACTGTGGGGAGGGGACAGTGACGTGTCCGGCATCTAGAGAGAGGTCTCCCTGGGTAGCTGGCTTGCCGATGCCGTGAGATGCCTTTGGCCTATCACAGGCACGCTTTCACACACTCTTTGGAATGCACCCCAGACATGGTGGCCCAAAGGTGCTACCATGGCCCAAAGGAGAAACGGTAGCCTTGGGTAGTGATTATTGTGAACGTTCCCTTAGAGGAAGGCAGGGTGAGACCGCCTGAGATGAGGCTGGGTTTGAAGCCTGGGAGGGAGTTAGAAGCCTGTGGTCTGCTGCCTGGGTGGCCTCTCCTGGCTGACCGCTGGGAGGAGGAGTGGGGTCCGCGCTGCCTGCCGTCCATCCCTTGCTGTCCTGTTTTGCGGGTAGTATGGGGGAGGGAGGTGGAGGGTGTCAGGAGGGCTGGGTATAGATAAAGCTGGGTGAGATGTAGAAGCCCCATTCTCTGCTGCGAGGGTACCTTGTCCTCTGGGGGGCACAGAGTCACCCACAGCAACCCTCTGAGTAGGAACTCACGGGGATGGCGCCTGGTGGTGTCCCCTGGGCGTCTGTGGGGCAGCTTCCGGGTGAGAAGTTGGTGACCACTGTCCCTTCCTCTCCCAGGTCCTCCACCTGCAGCTTGAGAGCCTAGGGCTGAATTCAAAGCCCATTGCCGACCGCTTCGTGGAGTCCTTCAAAGCCATGTGGTCTCTGAACGGGCACAGCCTGAGCAAGATGTTCACGGGCAGCCGGGCCCTGGAAGGGAAGGCCAAGGTAGGGGCAGACCGCGGGGGCCGGGGGGTGGGTGGTGCCCGTGCGGGCCCCTCTCACGGCCTTTCGTCCGGCCCGTGGCAGGTGGGGAAGCTGAAGGATGGGGCCCGGTCTGTGTCTCGCACAATCCAGTCCAGCTTCTTTGACGGGGTGAAGCAGGAGGCCATCAAGCTGCTGCTGGTCGGGGACGTCTACACTGAAGAGTCTGCGGACAAAGGGAGGATGCTGCTGGACAACCAGGCCCTGCTGGGTGAGGGGCTCCCGCTCTGCCTGGGGAGGCGTCCGGCTGCCCTGCCATCCAGAGGGCGGTGGTTGGGGGGTGCTAGCCAGCCTTCCCACCCCTCACGTCATCCCAGATGGTGGGTGGCAGGCGCCCCCCTGAGCTGCGGGGCAGCGGGAGGGAGCTTCTGTGCTCAGATCTGATCCTTGACTGTTCTCAAAGCGTCCATGTCTTTGAACGTTAACCCATCCAGGAATCTTTCTCAGCTTGAAAGTGTTCTTGGTCCCATTGCCAACTCTCATTTGTGGGGAGTCTTCCATGAGGGTGGCCTCCTGTTTCTATTACGGCCCCAGCGTGATCAGTCTCACGGTCTGACCAGCTGATCTAAGCAGCTTGCCGCTGTGCTTCGTATTTTAGGAGATGCTCAGCCGGGTGCAGCCACACGAGGAGGCAGAGGAGAGGCTCAGGAAAAAACAAAGTTAATACACTCACAGGTCCTAGAAATGCCACTCGGGACCACATGGAAAACGCCAGGGTGGTCAGGAGGCAGAAGGGCACTTAGGCCACAACCTTTATTGGGGTTTCCATAGGGAAGGCCAGGCAAGGTGTAGGACTGGCTAGTTTGAGTAACCGTGGGGACTTTGGGCTAGGGATGGGCTCTAGTTGGATGGTACCTGGTCCTAGGATGATTAAGGCAGAGGAACGTCACCTCCGGGGTGTGCCGGCCAGAAGGAGGAGGTACGGCTCTGGGTGGCTTGTTTGCGTGTAACAGGCTCTGGCTGAGTCTGAGAGTTGGCTTAGCCCCGGGAGGGGCAGTCTCTCCCCAGCCAGAAGGTCAGACACCACAATATACAGAAGATAAAAATGTGTCCCCAGGGCTTCCCTGGTGGCGCAGTGGTTGGGAGTCCGCCTGCCGAGGCAGGGGACACGGGTTCGTGCCCCGGTCCGGGAGGATCCCACATGCCGCGGAGCGGCTGGGCCCGTGAGCCATGGCCGCTGAGCCTGCGCGTCCGGAGCCTGTGCTCCGCAACGGGAGAGGCCACAACAGTGAGAGGCCCGCGTACCGCAAACAAACAAACAAACAACAAAAAATGTGTCCACAATACCAGCTGTCACTGTGGTTCCCGGTGCTTTTCTGGACTCACGTGAGAGCTCACTCTTCGACTTTTTAAATTTGCACCATTTCCAAACCGAGAGGCGGGGAGGAGTGGAGAGGGGTCCACTGGGGTCAGAGTCGATGTCTTTGAGTGTTAACTCATCCAGGAATCTTTCTCAGCTTGAAAGGGTTCTTGTTCCCATTGCCAGGTATCATTTGTGGGGAGTCTTCCAGGAGGGTGGCCTCCTGTTTCTGTTCTGGCCCCAGGACCCTGTAGAACTCTCCCAGGGATGAGGACACCTTCCGCTGTCAGGGGCAGGACTGTCACGATTCCCTCAGTAGCTAGAGGTTTCTTTTTTTCTTTCTTCTTTACTTGAGATATATTTGATATATAGGATTACATTAGTTTCAGGTATACAACATAATGATTTGATATTTGTATATGTTTCAAAATCATTACCACAGTAAGTCTAGTTAACATCATCACCACACATAGTTACAATTTTTTCTCTTGTGATGAGAACTTTTAAGAACTACTCTCTTAGCACCTTTCAAATACACAACACAGTATTGTTAACTGTAGTCACCACACTGTACATTATATTCCCAGGACTTATTTAACAGGAAGTTTCTACCTTTTGACCACCCACACCCCAACCTCTGACAACTGTTCTCTGTATCTATGAGTTCATTGTGTGTGTGTGTGTGTGTGTAAGATTTCTTATATAAGTGAGCTAGAGATCTCTTTGGGAAAATTGTAGTGGCATCTTATCCTGTAGAGCCTGTAAACATTATAGGGCTCATGGAAAACAAGGGCAGACCCAGCATTTTTCCTTAGAAAAATGTATAACTCTTGGTTTAGAAATTTTTGGTGTTTTTGAAAAGTTAGTTTGCCCACGCTTAAAATGACTTCACACCCCTTTTCTACTTTTTTTCTTCCATCATTGGGGGAACTCCTCTTTGGCTTCTGGTAGCCAAGGTGACATTTGTGTCAGCCCTTGGAAACAAGGCCAGCTCAATAAATGTGGAAAGAAGCTCTGAGTAGTACAGTGAGTCTTATTTCATAGCAAAGTAAACGTGATAGATATTTGGGCTAAGTCCCTAGTTTAAAAAATGGACTATATTTTGGCTGTCTAGAGGATGGACTTGGCTCAGAGTAATGATTTTTTAAACACTTAAGTCTGAGGTAAAACAAACAAAACATTTCAGGCATGCAGATTGGTAGGTGGAAAATGCAAAGATGGGTGTCAGACCCTTAAAGTTCCGTGTGTATATATTTAATATGGAAAGTTGCAGTGTCCCCTTGATTAAATTCCCACGGGATTGTGGTGTGACCGCCGAGGATGAGATTCCCTGTGATCTGATGTCACAGCCTCTGTGGCTCTGTTGGGAGAAGGGTGCGGAGGGGACATTATGGCAGAAGTGCCACAGGAAAGTGTTTGTGGGTGGTTTTTAGCCTCTTAGCAGCTTTATAAGGAGCATCCATTGGTCCATATAGATGGGATCGTGCATCCCCCTCTGACAGAGAGCCTGGCCATGTTTCTGGGGGTGTTGTGTGGGGATACGGGTACAAACATGGCCTTTCTGTGCCCCAACAGTGACTCCCAGGATCCTGCGAGCCATGTCGGAGCGCCAGTCAGAGTTCACGAATTTCAAGCCGGTGCGTGTCGCTGTGGGCACCTGGAATGTGAACGGAGGCAAGCAGTTCCGGAGCAACCTGCTGGGCACTGCCGAGCTGGCTGACTGGCTGCTGGATGCGCCCGTGTTTTCCGGAGTCTCTGGATTCCAGGGTGAGTGTGGCCGGGACAGGCCCCGGCTGCCGTCTCGCCTCGTCCGCAGGTGGACTTGGGAAGTTGGGTATTTGGCCTTCTCGCTCCTTGGGATGTTTAGAAAGCTCTGTGGAGGGTTAGACCAGACACGGGTTTTTTTTTTTTTTTTTTTGGCCGCGGCTTGCGGGTTCTTAGTTCCCCGACCAGGGATCAAACCCAGGCCCTTGGCAGCGAAAGTGTGGAGTCCTAACCACTGGACTGCCAGAGAATTCCCTGTGTACCTTTTAAGAATAAAACAATTCCAAGGTTGACACCTCACCTTTTGTCTTATATCGTGCAAGGTAATATTTAATGGCCTGAGAACTCAGGATTCAAACACGTACTTTTTCTTCAGTCAGTGTTTATGTCGGGGTTTCGCTTTTTCCCGCTCACTTGGATTCTGGAAAGACTCGTGGTCTGGTTCCCTGCCTGTTGATGTGCGGTGGAGGTTGGGGTCATCTCTGCTTACATACCTTGATCGACAGCTGTCCGGGACGGTGCCCAGAGCCCCATCCTCGCTCTCTGTGTGCTGTCCGCATGGGGCAGGGGGTTGGGGGCAGGGTAGCTCGAGTACCTTGTTCTGAGTCACTGGGATGCCTCAGGCAGCTGAGCGTCAGGACACATCTGGAGGCAGGCAGCAGGTGGCTGCAGGGCTTCTATTAACCTAAGATTCCCTGTTAAAGGGGACAAAGAGAGAACGGATGAGCAACACTTCTGCTTGCTGTGCTTCCTGTAAACCAGGCATTTCTGGGTCAGATTTCATCAGAGCAGGTCCCAAGCAGGGCTGGACATCCCCTTCTCTGACCACCAGGACAACAGTACCCTGGGACAGGACCACGGTCAGACGTGATCCCGGCAAGGCTGGCCCAGCGCTGTGAAAAGTACTGAGGGACACGAACAAGTATGACAGTTCTGCCCCCTGGCAACTTAGGGTCTGGTTGGGGGTGGGCGGCGTCTGCTGCGTGTGGAAGTTATCGGTCCAGGCACTCTACACGTGTTCTCTGATTTACGCTTTACGACCACCCTGCGAGGTGGCCGCTACCATCCCTTTTGCAGAGCAAGCAGCAGAGTTTGGAGAGGTTAGTGACACACCCAGGATGTAGCCAGGGAAGAGCCGTGGGCACAGTGGGAGCTGGAAGGAGGTTGGCGCATGGAGCTCACCACGTGGTCTGGTGGGGTCATCCAGGCCGTAGGCCAGCACAGGCCTCCGTGGGTCTGACTTCCCTCGTCTTCTGCTTGTTCTGCAGATGACAGCAGCCCAGCTGACATATTTGCCGTGGGGTTTGAAGAGATGGTGGAACTGAGCGCAGGGAACATCGTCAACGCCAGGTAGGCGGCCAGGCGTGGTGGGGTGGGATCCTGAGCCGGGAGCCTCTGCACTTCTGACTGACCTCACGGACATAAGCCTCTCCCTTCCTCTCTCTTTGCTGATTAAGGAAATAGAAGGAAGGGTGGGTTAGGCTCAGTACTCCATGGGTGCTGTTGTCTCGGCCATGTGTCCAGGCTGATTCACGCTGCGAGCTGGCATGTGTGAGCCCCGAGGGCATGGGCCGGGCTGGGCGGGGGGCTGACTCACATTTCCTGTGTGTGAGTGTAAGAAAGAAACAAAGGAAAGAAAACCACTGGATTAACATTTGGTGTGAGGTCAGCTGGACTCTTTCTTTCCTAGTCTATTTCAAGGTACTTTCTGAACAAATAATAAAACCTGGTTCTCTGGAGGTCTTATGAGCAAGGCCCTGTGCTGGGGTTCAGGTGGCAGGTGTTGGGTGGGGCACATGTTTGATGTATACAACACAACCAGAAATATGCGGATAGCCCATTGCAGGGATTAAGGCTCACATGGCACTAATGCAGGAGCGCAGGCAGCATGATGTCAATAAAGAACCAACTAAGGGCTAGAGGAGTTTATAGGTGGGAGAGCCTGCTTCCAGCTCACGCTAAACAGCATCCTTCTTTTCTGCAGTACCACCAACAGGAAGATGTGGGGTGAGCAGCTTCAGAAAGCCATCTCACGCTCTCATAGGTATATTCTCTTGACTTCGGCACAGCTGGTGGGCGTCTGTCTTTATATCTTTGTACGTCCGTACCACGTCCCCTTCATCAGGTAAGAACATTTCGCTTACGAACATCTGGGGGAACACGGGATTGTTTGATTCTGACTTCCTTCCCCCCACCCCCTTCCTGCAACAGGAATCAGGACCTGCCATTAATTTAGATAAATGTAACAAAAGCCCCAAGGAAAAATCAAGCTGAATAGAATATTGTCTAGCATTTAAAAAGCCACAGTGGGAACCTTCTAGCTCAGGAAGCTGGACCCTTTTAGAAAGAGTGGTTCATGATCGTTGTTACCCAGGCTCAGTTTTGCACAAGGAAAGGGATTCCTTGCTGAAATGTTTGACAGGAAACCTCTGACCAAGAGCTGGGTAACTCATCAGGAAATGCCAATTCTTTTGTCTCTTTTTAAAAGAAATTCTAGATAAGATGTGTGGGCAGAAAGCCTCTACCACTGTCACCCCATTACCGGGTCTCCAAAGTGACAGCTTTGTGAATGTTAGAAAGGGAAAAAGCTTAGGAAAAGCGTGTCTTTTAGGAGAGCCCGTGCGTGTGTGTGTGTGTGCGCGTGTGTGCGTGCGCGTCTGTGTGTGTGTGTGTGCGCGTGAGTGTGTGCGTGCATGGGGGTTTTAAGGTTTGGGAGGAGCACACATTGCTCCCTGGTCCCATTCATGTTGTTGGAACACGCTCTGGTCTTTGTCTTTGCCTGCACCAGAGAGAGAGATACTTGGAGAGCATGGCCGTGCTCTGTGCTCGTAATCCTCTTCTGTGGCCTTTGGGAGATGGTAAAGTGTTTGTCCCCCAACTGTTTGCTGCGACAGTCTGGCAGTGTCCACAGTGAGTGGGTAAAAGTCAGTTACGGTCAGAGTAGAGGTGAGGTTAGGGTAGAGGTCAGAGATAGAACATGAGGAAGAGAGTGATGCCAAGGGGCTCCAGATTTCCCAGGTGCCAGCTAAGGTCCCAACACCTGTGTCCCTTTAGCCTCAAGCTCGCACACTGTTGGCAGGTTGTCCCCATACCTTGTCTGTTGGGTGACAGTCCCAGGGAACAGGTGAAGGCTTCAGCCCCTGGTCCCGTGGACCTACGCACTCACCTGTGTGCATTGTAAGCTGGCATTTTAATGCCAGGCGTCTGCTTGGAAACCACCCGCCCAGCCCAGCATAGGTAACTGGATGGTTCCTGTTTTTTCAAATGTGTTGATTACCTGATGGCACCCCCTTGTTACCCAGCTCAGTTTTGCACAAGGAAAGGGATTCCTTGCTGAAATGTTTGACAGGAAACCTCTGACCAAGAGCTGGGTAACTCATCAGGAAATGCCAATTCTTTTGTCTCTTTTTAAAAGAAATTCTAGATAAGATGTGTGGGCAGAAAGCCTCTACCACTGTCACCCCATTACCGGGTCTCCAAAGTGACAGCTTTGTGAATGTTAGAAAGGGAAAAAGCTTAGGAAAAGCGTGTCTTTTAGGAGAGCCCGTGCGTGTGTGTGTGTGTGCGCGTGTGTGCGTGCGCGTCTGTGTGTGTGTGTGTGCGCGTGAGTGTGTGCGTGCATGGGGGTTTTAAGGTTTGGGAGGAGCACACATTGCTCCCTGGTCCCATTCATGTTGTTGGAACACGCTCTGGTCTTTGTCTTTGCCTGCACCAGAGAGAGAGATACTTGGAGAGCATGGCCGTGCTCTGTGCTCGTAATCCTCTTCTGTGGCCTTTGGGAGATGGTAAAGTGTTTGTCCCCCAACTGTTTGCTGCGACAGTCTGGCAGTGTCCACAGTGAGTGGGTAAAAGTCAGTTACGGTCAGAGTAGAGGTGAGGTTAGGGTAGAGGTCAGAGATAGAACATGAGGAAGAGAGTGATGCCAAGGGGCTCCAGATTTCCCAGGTGCCAGCTAAGGTCCCAACACCTGTGTCCCTTTAGCCTCAAGCTCGCACACTGTTGGCAGGTTGTCCCCATACCTTGTCTGTTGGGTGACAGTCCCAGGGAACAGGTGAAGGCTTCAGCCCCTGGTCCCGTGGACCTACGCACTCACCTGTGTGCATTGTAAGCTGGCATTTTAATGCCAGGCGTCTGCTTGGAAACCACCCGCCCAGCCCAGCATAGGTAACTGGATGGTTCCTGTTTTTTCAAATGTGTTGATTACCTGATGGCACCCCCTGTACTTTGCAGGAGAGCCGTGTGGGATGGGGTTGGGGGCGGGGAACTCCATGCTGCTCCTGCCACAGCAGCGAGACCGGCAGCGGAGGGCTGGGGTGGAGGTGATTCAGCTGCATGATGCTTTGTGGGGTGCTTATGTGAGCACCTCGGGGCTGGGGCCACGGGAGCTCACTGCCACGGGGCAGCTGCCCACGATGAGAGGAGGGTCAGGAGTGATGCGGAGCTGATGGCAGTCCCGCTGTCCCTGTGCGGCCTGGCCGCTGAAGATGGGATGAACCAGCCTCTGAGCCGATGCTTTTGAGGCTCTCAGATCCGCAAGCCTCGCGCTGCCGCCCGGATCTTCTCTGTAGCAAAGCTGCTCATGCTTTGCCTTCGGAGCCACTGAGAGGCCCCCCACGTGTGCATTCTCTGTTCCAGGGACGTGGCGATTGACACAGTGAAGACGGGCATGGGGGGAAAGGCGGGGAACAAGGGCGCCGTGGCCATCCGCTTCCAGTTCCACAGCAGCAGCTTCTGCTTCATATGCAGCCACCTGACGGCCGGGCAGTCCCAGGTGAAGGAGAGGAACGAGGACTACAGGGAGATCACCCAGAGGCTGAGCTTCCCGATGGTGAGCAGCGAGGCAGTGGCGTGTGAGCCCCCCTGCTCGGGTCCGCCCCACACACGGTTTCCTGAGCTGCTAACATGGGCAGGCGGTGGCGATACGACCGTAGGAGGGTCCCTGCCCCTGGGGGCTCAGCAGTGGTGGCAGGGAGATGACCAGGGGTGCTGCAGTAGCGGTGAGCAGGGAGTCCGGCTCAGGAGTGTTCTGCCTCCTGTATCTCTGTGTGTTTCCTGAATGTCCCGACGTGCCCTGCGTTTTCTTATTCTAATTCAACTGTATGCAATGGGGAAAGAAAACCGGTGCGTCCATGCTTTGTCCACGTTGGTGAAGAACATTTGAATCCAACCAGTATAAGACTTGGTTTTCTTGAGACTCACACATACATTCTCTTGTGGCTCAGAAGAGAATACACGTTTTTGAAACCAGTGAATTCTTGGCTCAGGAGCTCTGGATCCTGGTATGGTCTCACGGTTGCCAATACCACGCGTCGTGCCGCCCTCTAGTGGTGGTCCAGAGGTTTTCATTCTGAAGCCGGGGGATCTTTTTGAATTCAGATTTGAATGTTTTCCTTTCTGTGCAAAGATGATGGTCCCGCACACCTTCACCCTGGTGCAGACACCTATTTCCCAGCAGTGAGGGTAGACTTTAGCAGTTCCTGCCACACGTTCTGCCCGTGCCTGAGACAAGGTTGGCTGGGTCATGGAGCTCTTCTATGTGAGGCCAGATCCCTTAAAACTGACATCCTGTTCACTGGGCTGCCCTCAAGGCAAAAATTCCTTAGTTTTCATTAAGAATTGCTGTAATCCTTGTTGGAGGTTTTATGTCTTGGATTATAAAATAAATGAGTTAGGAAATTTGCAATTGTAGTTTTCCAGATTATGTAGGGCTAATATTTTCTTTGTGGGTCTTTGTAGTGAAAAAAGAAAAGTCCAACCCATCTCACTTAAAAAGTGCTGTTTCAAAGTAGCAAACATGGGACACATTTAAAATAATTAAAGAGTTTATACTATAGCTTTTTTCAACAGAAATATTGACGGTATCTATAAGGTAATACCCTGTACCTGATCAGTAGAGTAGCCACTAGCCACAAGTAGGTATTTAAATGTAAAATAACTAACATTAAATAAAACTAAAAATCCCTCGGTCACACTGGCCACATTTCAAGTGTTCGATGGCTAGATGTGGCTGGTGGCTCTTGTTCTGCACAGCACAGGTAGAGAACATTTCCATCACTACGGAGTGTTCTATTAGGCAGTGATGCTCTGCACATTTATTTTATTTGGTTGTGATAATTTCAATCTTTTGTATAACGGAAACAGATTTTGGAGCTTGGCAGATCTGAGTTCATGTCTTATCTTTATCATGTACTAGCGGTGTAACCTTCAGCAAAGTTTCTGAACTTCTTTTTTTAATCTGTAAGAGAGAGCTTCACAGGGCTGCTGGGAGAACAGTGTGCCCCAGAACAGAGCCCAGCATTGTAGACAGCTGATATCGTGCTGCTATTGTTGTTGTGATTCCTGGGGAAGGGAGGGGAAGATGCCACAGCTCTCCAGGGCTGCCCTGGGCAAGATGGGGGAGAGAGAGAGGTGGAGGGTCACAGGATGAAAGTGTATGAAATCCACCAGGTTTTACGAAGTTGCGTGTCCTGAGCATTTATACTTATTTCCTTAAACCTCATTCTCGTAACACTGAATGTTTGGGCAGTTCGTCTCAGGATACAGACATAACAAAGCAGGGGTACATCCTGATGGCTGAGATCTACTCGGCAGAGTAAATACCAATATTGGTAGTCATGCTTCCTCTGTTAGAGTTGGAGCTTTCTCCAGACCACTCAAAAACACTATGTAAAATTTGAAAATTAAGCCATGTGAAAGTCCCTCAGTAAGTTTATGGGATTAGTGAAAAATGAGATGCTCTAGCAGACTTTTTTCTTCTTAAGTAACATTTTAAGAAAAACACATCTGCTATCATCTGTACGGTGAGTTTATTTTTCTTCCTTCTCCCACCTTCCTTGCAATGGGCCGAATCATCTTTTTTTTTTTTTTTTTTTTTTTTGAGATGCTCTAGCAGACTTTTTTCTTCTTAAGTAACATTTTAAGAAAAACACATCTGCTATCATCTGTACGGTGAGTTTATTTTTCTTCCTTCTCCCACCTTCCTTGCAATGGGCCGAATCATTTTTTTTTTTTTTTTTTTTTTATGACTTAGGGAAGAAACATTTTTTCTCACGATTATGTGTTTTGGTGCGGCGATTTCAACTACCGCATCGATCTCACTTACGAAGAAGTCTTCTATTTCGTTAAACGCCAGGACTGGAAGAAGCTGCTGGAATTTGATCAGCTACAGCTACAGAAATCAAGTGGAAAAGTAAGTCGTGCTTTCAAAATAGTTTTTAACACCTGCTGCAACATGGAATAGCTTCTGCTAAATGTTCACGCTAGCATTTGCGAATTAAGCTTCATGCGTGAATTTAACTGATTCTGATAATGGTAAAAAAAGGTGTCTGGCGTAAGAAGTTAGAGAAACGTGAGTGTCCATCCACACTCACGTCCTGTTCCTCCTTTCAGTGGCCACGGTCAGGGTCTGTGTCTTCTCATGCCCAGGGGGGCCATTGCTCTATGATAGGACACTGGACACACGTAAGCCACCGCAGGAGCTCAGGGCGACAGGAGCCTCTCTGCCCACGCTCTGTGGTTGGAGGGGGGGGGTCAGCTGTCCCTCCTTCACACAAGCTGAGCCCTGGTCCAGCTGTGCTCAGTTTGAGTCCAAGCTGCTTCAGGCAGCCCCATGTCAGCATCTGAGCACATGGCCGGTGAGGCTGGTGGGTGTGATGTATGCAGTCCACGTGCCCTGTACTCAGGGTGACGCTCGTATGGATGGCTGTGTGTCAGGTACACTAAACCAGCAGGTGACACACTAGATTCTGCTCAAAACATTTTATTTTGGTGATATCTCTGTTTCTTGTTAGTGAACATACTAACAAATAAATTAATTTAATACACTAACAAGATCTAATACACTTTACACACCAATTTGTACACATAATCCTCAAGACCATCCTACAGATTAGGTATCACACCCATTTTATAGATAAGAAGACTGAGGCCAAGGTCAAACACCGTGTCCAAGGTCACACAGTCAGTAAACAGAGGCATGGCAGAGCCTAAGACTGTCACGCTTCCGATGAGACTTCCCCTCCTTGACCTGGTGTGGTCTTTTAGTGCCTCCTTAGGCCATGATGTAGTAGGGAAGATTCAACTATAGAATCTGTCCTCAGTTCTTCAGGGCCACACTGGCTGGCCCCCCCATGACTCAAAACTTATCTTCTCTCCCACGTGAAACTGTTTGTTGTTTTGGTGCCTGTTTGCTTCCTAGCAGGACAGGCTGAGGGGAGGGAGGCACAGCTAAGTTCCATTTATGGAAACTGCAGCGGGTTAGATGGTGCAGGCAGGGAGGTTGAGTCTCCTCCTGCAGTGAGATCTGGATGTTCCTCGAGGTTTTCTGTCGCCCCCCCTCAGTGACACAGGTCGCTGGGGGTGGCCAGAGGGCAGAGTAGCCACACCACTCCTCCCTGCAAAGGGTCTCTCTCCCTTCCTCCTGCCAGTATTCTCCACACCCTTCCCCTCGGGTGCTGAGTGAATGTCTGTTCCTGGGTCTTCCCGCAGCATCAGGGCTGGACCAGGGCTAAGTGAAGACGGAGGAGGGCCGGGCTTCAGTTCTGGGCTGCTTTTTACCCAATTGGTTTTGTTAACAAATATGGATCAAGGCCTTGCCGGGGCTGGGCCAGGCGTTCCCCTCGGCCTGTGCCTGTCAGTGTCACCCGGCTGCTGACAAGCAGGCGTGTGACAGATCGGGCGGTGAGGTTGGTGGGAGACCCAATGGTGTGTAAGTCAGCAGAACAAAGTGATAATCATCATTTTTTTGGCCAATTAAAAGGCACACATATGTCCAGTTTTTGACATATTTGCAAATATGATGTAGCTTCTGTTACTTTAGGAATAAAAAACCACTCTGGAACGTGCCTTCTATTTGCATGTAATGTACATGATGTAGGAGAACTACGAGGGCCCTGTGACTTCTCCCAACAGATCTTTAAAGACTTTCACGAAGGCACCATTGACTTTGGACCCACCTACAAGTATGATGTTGGCTCTGCTGCCTATGACACAAGTGACAAATGCCGCACCCCGGCCTGGACGGACAGGGTCCTGTGGTGGAGGAAGAGGCATCCTTTTGACAGAACAGGTGCCTGAGATATGTGTGCTTTCAGAGCTGGGAGAGGGCAAGTGATCAGTACCATAGAAGGAAGATCACTTTTCTTTAGTCCAGCGCTCTTTGTTATATAAATAACAATTCTCTGGATAACCCAGAGCTACTCAAAAGTCATCCCAGATGTTAGCCCTAAGCTTTGGGAGTTGTATTTTGGGGGAGCTCCCCTCTGGCTTCTTTCTAGAGACTCTGCTCCTGGTTCCCCCAATCCCTGCCGCACGGCTGTCCCCCTACACCACCCTGCCACCTTTTGTTCCTGGCAGGGGTGAGGAGAGAGGCTACAGCTTTTCCTCTCTGGCGCTTCTGCCTCTCACACTCATGCCTTTTTTCCAGCCCATTTTGTTCAGCCGAACTCTTATCTGCTTAAAGCCCCAATTCCAAATCAAATATGAGTGAGACACAGGAAAGATGAGAGTTTTGTTTTGTTTTTTTTTATCAATTAGTAGTCTATCATGTTTTGAACAATTATTGATACCCAGCTAGGAAGTGCAGTTTGTTTAAAATTCGAATGCCTATAAACTAACACATAAACAACTAAGCTTTTCTGGTGAGACGGATGCTGAGATTTCAAAGCCCAGAAATCTCACCTGCAGATTGGGAAGATGTGTTTTTGTTCAGATCACTTTTGTGGACATCTAAGCAAGAGGCTGGATGCCTTCAGGTTCTTAGTCTCTGCATCTCCTGCTGTACAAAGAGCTGCAGCTCTCCTGTTTCCCATGGGCCTGAGGCAAAATCCCCGCAGCAGCGATTTCTGTGTTCTCACCCAGTTTGCCCGCTGGGGAGGAGTTTTTACCCCAGGCCCCAAGGCCACTTTGACAGGGTTTCAAGCCCAGGGGGTTAGAACGACTGAGTCTGAGATAGGAGGTGGTCCATGATGCAGCTCCCTGGTGCACGTGTCTGTAATTGGCATTCATGAATGTTGATACAATTTTGTGTTGTATGTGTGTCTCTTGATTGGAATCCCCGTGAGTAGCTGGAGAACTCAACCTTCTAGACAGTGATCTGGACGCTGACACCAAAGTCGGACATGCCTGGTCTCCTGGTGCCCTCAAGTATTATGGCCGAGCAGAGCTGCAAGCGTCTGACCACAGGTATGGTCCTGGCTGCCGTGGACACATCCTCTGCTGAGGAAGGCGGGGTCAGCTGCTCCCCGCAGAGAACGGACCTGCCTTCCCTATCCGAATGCGTGTGTGTGTGTGTGACACACAGTAAAGAGCAAAGAACAGTATGACAAGTAGCTGTGTACTTGCCACTAAGAATTAATCACTGTTAACATTTTGTCATTGCTCCACGTCACAGGTAACATCTATTATGAAAATTGCGAAGACATAACCTGTGGTATTTTATGTCTCTTAAATTCTGGTACATTATGTCATCGTGCAACTTGCTTTTTTTGTTACTTACCATTTTTGAGATACAGTCACGTCATTACTAGAGATCTGACTCTTCCATTTGTAAACGCTGTCCGGTATTCCGCTAAATATATCCACGCGATTTACCCATTCATCTACCGATGAATATTTTTCCCAATGTTTCATTGTTACAAACACCATAGGGTTTTACAGTGCTGCATTCAGGGTTTTGGATGCTCTGAGCTGTTGCTTTAGCCTAGTGCCTTGTGGATTAAGGATGGAACACAGCAGCAGAGGTCTGTCAGCTCGGCATGCACCGGGGCTGGCCACAGAGGGAGGTTATTCTTGTAGAACATCTTTAAAGACAGAAGATGGCATTTGACCTTCCCACGGCTGCTACCAAAACTATCATGTCAATTTCAACTTTTACAAGAAAAGAAATTAAGAAAGAGACCTGGTGGTGAGCAGTTGGTCAGTCACTAGGTCGAAATCTTTCGATGCTTCTGATTTTTTGAGAAAGCTGCTGTTGCAAATACATACCTAGAAATGAGCGTGGGGAAATCTACAGATGTATGACTTTCAGGTTTGCTAGTTCAGTGAGTATATTTAGAAGCATTCATTTAACCAGTATTTATTGGGGGGCCTTATATTGATATATAGGCCCTGTTCCTGGCACTGAGGAAAAGCAGTGAACAAAACAGATGATACCATGCTCTCAAGGAATTTTCTAGTGAGGACAGACAGACAAGAAACAAGTGCCATGAATGAAAAAAAAAAGTAGTGGCCGGAGTCAGTCAAGGGGTTGGTGCTATTACATACCCAGCGTTCAGGGAAGGTGCCTCTGGTGACCTTGGAGCCGAGACCTGAAGGAAATGAGAGTGGGAGCCATGTGGGTATCAGGGAGAGAGCATTCCAGAGCGGGAGTGTGGAGAACATCTAGGAGTTTGGAGAATAGAGAGGCTGGAGAGAGAAGAGTGAGGGGAAGAGTCATAGGAAACGAGGTGAGATGAACAAGAGTCAGCCTGCGTGGAACCCTGTGGGCCATAAAAAGGACATTGGGTTTCACTCTGAGCGCAGTGGCATTGTGTGGCCAGGTTAGAACAGAGTCACCTGAAGAAACTCCAGCGGGGCCAGCATGGAAGGAGGGAGGCAGGGAGGAAGCTAGGGACGGGGTGGCCTTGGGCCAGCGTGGTCGTGGGTTGCCATGGTGAGCAGTGGTAGGTTCTGGGTAGGTTTTGAAAGTGGAGCCAGCAGAACTGGCTGATGGAGTGGATGTGGGTGTGAGAGACGAGGTGAGGATGACTCCAGAGTTTTTGGCCTGAGCAGCTAGAAGGATGGAGTAGCATTTACTTAGCTGGGAAGACTGGGCAGTGCGGATCTGAGCATCCTGGTTTGAGACGCATCTTAGACATTTATTGATTTTTCTAATTACAAAACCAGAACATCTTGGTTCTTGACAATTAGGGGAAATATACACAGACAAATCATCCATCATCCCATGCTCTGAGACCACGTCTGGTGACAGTTCGTTATGCGTCTTTCCACCGCATTTTCCACGTACATTTTGCACCGAAACACTAACCTGTGTGTAGTGTGTGCTCATGTGCATGCAAGCTTGTAGATGTTTAAATGTGGATAAGAAAACTAGGATTATGTTATGTGAACTGTTAGCGTTTGCTTTCTTACTTGCTACATTCATTTTTTTAATTAAGCTTTTTACTGTGAGGTAGTTACAGACTCGCGTGCAGTTATAGGGAATAACGTAGGGGTCCTGTGCACACTTTACCCAGCTCCCCACAGCGGTAAGACCCTGTAATCTACAGCGCAGTGTCACACCCAGACATTGACTTCGATATGGTCGGGACAGAACGTCTGTCACCCCGGGGACCCTCGTTTCCCTCCCTCCCACACTCCTTCCTAACCCCTGTCAACCACTCCTCTTTTCTCCTTTTCCAGCATTTTGTCATTTCAAGAATGTTATAAAATGGAACAGAATTGGGGGACTGGCTTTTTTCACTTGGCACGATTCTCGGGAGCTTCTTCCAGCTGCTGGTGTGTCAGTAGTTGGTCCCTTTTCATTGCTGAGTGAGTCAGGCTGCCTTCCCGTGTCCGTACCCACTTTCATCAGAGATGCTCCGCTTCGAACACAGGCTCCTCGGGAAAGTTTTTCTCCCACAGAAAGTTTTTAAAAAACCCTCAGCGCATATTCCTGTGTCAGATTTTTCTCCGTCTTCCTTTTTCTTGCTTCTAGAGGCAAAAAAAAAAAAAAATCTAATGATAGTCATATGAATTTGGGGGGATACTACTGATCTACCACCCATATCTCTTAATTTTTTCAGTGTTCCCTGGTTTTAAAGGTTGCCACCGTATTATATGCTATTTTGTATTATGCTTTGTTTCCACCTAATATTTTAAATGTCTTCAGTAAGATTACATAATTCTCATAAGAAAGGATTTTCTAAATTTTTTGTAGAGTAAACCCATCCCTGTATAAAAATTACAATAAGGTTTGTATTATTTCCTGCTGTTCTGGTTTTCTGTGTATGTCGA